GGTACGGCAAAACATTGCTACCATCAAATCCTTTTAAATCCACTTAATGCATTGACCAATCAAAATATTGAAACACATTTACCTTACAATTATATATATATATAAAAAAAAAAAAAAAAAAAAACAGGACAATACCGCTGTGTGATCAAAGTACTTATTTAAAGTTTAAAGCGTTAAAACGAGACCCAAATCATGAAAAGGAGACTAGCAAATAGTCCCTTGCATGGGGAGAAATATGACCTTCTGATACTCGGTTAATCCAAGTGCTATCTTTTGATGCAGATTCCCCCCAAACTCTCTATAACGTGTGCTTAGATAAAAACATTGTTGACTGCATTAGCTAATTGATGGGATTTCATTTGATTTGATTAGAAATTGTTGCTTTATTCTGATGACAATCGTTATTAAAATCGTATCTCATTTAAGAGGATTACTGTGAATTCCAATTGGTAATATATACATTTGTAACAACGATGCAGAGAAAGCTGTGGCGTGAGAATGGAAAATGCTTCTTGCTATTGTCACTGTTTTCTTAGAAGGGAGTGTCGCTGTCTTTGACACATCGGATAAAACTGATAACTCCTCGCTTAAAACGATGTTTTGGCTATTTCAAGTGACTTGTTTAATATTGGTGACATTTCTAGTATAGAGATACAATTTTTAGTTTCATTACGAGATATTCTAAAGGGACTGAACCGGGGGAAAATGTTAAAAGCATATTACATGTTATGAAGTTTTCGTTAATTATATAACTTGAAAGTTTGTACAACCATTTTGTCGGATATTATCTTGTCCTCGACAAGAATGTCGTATTAGAAACGAGCAGATTTAGGAATATGGATTGCTTTTATTAAAAAAAATATACAATAAGGCGTTTATATCAGACATTTTTTTTCATTTTGAGGTAGACCGAACGCAGGGCTTAGAGACGGAGACCGAGAGCATTGGTACAGGGGTCATCTGAAAATCACTTTATTGGTGGTGTAAACACACATATAATATATGAGGATCTACATGTAAAAAACGTGGATAACATAACGTACAATGGTTACACATACTGACAAGTCTCGCAATGTCAACTACTGCAGACATATACCACCTTAGATGACGTCATAGACTACCAATGACGCAGTAGATTTTTATTTTACATTTGAAGTATTTCACACTGTCACGGTGTCTATTCAAATTCTATCGCAAATATTTGTTTCTCAACTTCTCCACAATTTCTCGAATATGCTGAGTTTGAACTGATGCCATAACTGGATATGCGTTAGGGAATATCTTGTCTCCAAGTACCAAACATTCATTTGGGAATTCTAAGGGAATGTTCGTTTCAATGGAAGGCATATGTGTCAAAATTTGGGTCATTTGGTGTTACATAAAACCGCACAAATCTAAGAATAACCTCATTATCAAGAATAACGTTGTTACGTATGCAATGTGTATGCCTAATAGCACTAAAATGAAGTGTTTGGGGTTCCACTTCCGGTCTGAAGATGCGATGAGATGTTCCTTGAATTTCTGTGAGCGTGTTCAGAATATCTGGCCAATTCCCTCTCATACTCTCCCAGTCCCGTCGACTAGACACTGTTCATGTATATCATCGTCACTTGATTTCCTGGGTATAAAATATAGTTTCTCTGTGTTAATCGCAGTGAAATATCGTTCAACGAACTCGTTGATAAATCCATTTCTCCCTGCCCCATAATTGTTGATAGAACCTAACAGTCTGTTCCGATTTTGTCTGCTGAATGGCTAGTTCATTGATTTGAATAAGAAAAACATTCGCAACATCATCTGTAAGAGGAAGAGGAGTCGAGAGAGTCAAGTCCTGCTATTCCGGGCGGTGACAGACTGTCGTTTATTTAACTGGCAATGTTATCGTGATTGAATTTCTAAACGGAGAAGGGAAAACAGACTGGATTGACTAGAAAATAATAAACAATCTATAAGGTCAGAAAAAGTTAGCGAGGCAAACAAAATTTGTTCTATTTTGAAATGAACCAGTACTCCGGGGTTAGTCCCTCTCTGCTACCCTTGACCATATCATGGCAAAATTGAAGGTTCCATGTGCGACACCTTGGCAACAATACGAAAAGACTAGTTTAATCCTTTGATATACATCAAACGCATCTCAAGTTCGCATAACGTTATATTGTAATGATTTTGAAGTTTGGCGTCGCTCCTTTGTAATCTTCAAAAGGAATACTAAAAATGAATGTTAACTTTAAATGATTATTTAAGAGAAAGAAATGTTCGGTCTACAGGGGGAGATGGAGTCAAAAGAATGAAAATGAGAAATGTCTATTAGAAATAGACTGTACTCGACAATCTTGACGAGTAAAACAACAAATGGTGATTAACACATCAATTGTAGATTATTAATTGATTGATTTATGGAAGGCTTAAGTGGTCGTGAACGAGAAAGAATTATAAACGCTAAGCAATTATTCTTCATAGCGTATTTAGCAGCTTCCGAACAAAAGATACATATTAATTGATCGGGGTACTGTTCGCTTTTTCCTGTAGAACAAAACATTCGTGGTCATTATGTTGTTGCGTAGGCGTTTCATTTGTATCCGGGAAAAATAAAACTTCATAAAAGATGAAAGCTGGGGCATTAATTGCCTTTGCCTGAAGCGGCGTCAGCTGCTTTTCCGGTGCCCATACAGCTGCACCATATTCTAATAGCAATCACGTCAAAAACGGAAAGAGGACATGCAGAAAGAATGCATATGGGGCAGTGCTAATTTCCATATTTTCCTTCTGTACCAAAGGTGTAAAAAAATAACGAATAGATTTGTTACCCCCTTGCCTAAATAGATGATAACACCATGATATGTGAAAGCCAGTGAAACTCGAGTTTGACATATAAATATATAGGACATTCTGACAAATATGATGATCGAGTATTGTGTTTTCGTCTGGAACACACCGCGTCGCCGCCAGCAACTTACTTTAAGATATTGTGTTATAAAAGTATGTTACTATCTTCAATCCAACTTGGTATATGGCTACATCATACGGGGGACACCCTCATTTACAAAATATCACCCAGGTTTTACGGTCCAGCAACCCAAAAAATCTGCGATAATACGAAATACAAGTCTAATTCCGATAAAATACGGAATATAATTGTATAGCAGTATAGACATCTGAACAGACCAATCAGCTGGAAATTTATTTGTACTTTTGGGACAAAAAATATCCGATTTCCATCAATACTTACAAGCTTATTGTATTAGATTCAGATTACCCTTTTCCTCAAACGACTTTACGACTTTTAAAAAGAGAATAAAATATTCATGCTTCACCAATATCTGATAAAGGAATAGAAATAATCAGTGACTGTTCTATCGTGAATATTAGAACCATGACCAGATTTCTGTGTTACACAGATGGACCTAGATCAACATGGCAGATCAATGAAGGTGCTTACTCTTCATGAAAATCTGATCATACTGTAATTTTCTAGAGTCTCCGCATGAATTTGATCTATCGTATTTTATTTACGAATTTGTTGACTTTTGGTATTCTTTTGGTTTTTCTGCATGAATGTTTTCAATTCTCCTGTATTTGTATATGTCATAACGCCTATTAAACTTGAAATAGCAAAATAGATATGTATTCATATATAGCAAATTCAGTGTTAAATTGAATTCTTGTGCATAAGATGCAGTATATTTTATTTCAGTTTTCATCGTAAAACGTTTTATCAAGATCTATTTGAATTCATATTTCTGTTGTTAATTTCAGCATTTTTATTTGAATATCATTTTCATTACATTTTACATACATGTCGTATATAAGCAACGAAAGATGTCTTGTTTATATGAATCATGCAACTAAGAAATCGATGTAAAGGAGTGGGCGTATCCATTAGGCTGTATCACTTCCTACAGGAAACATCGACAATGTTATGCTAAGTTCCTGACATCATACTCCTACTTATTTATAACTGGCATGCAATATATTACTGGAGCGTGCAATGTATACACATATATAGACTGAACTTGTCATTGATTCCGTAACTACATTGATGAAGGAAACCGGAACAACATAAACAGTACCGACATGTCAACAGCATCTGAATTCAAATTCAAATTCGATGAGTCTAGGGTAAAATATGATCAAAAGGAAGATTTACATGGAGACTCCTGATAAAATACAAGGAGATAAAGACAGGTGTTCTTGCCGACATTCGCTACGTAAATCTTTGTCGATCAAAGTGAAAAATGTCACGTTCCCAAATGAGAACAAGGTAAACAACCTGCAACCGCCAAGTAATGTAACGAACATCAAACACGTCAAACTTCTTATCAGAATATTCCTCAGTGAGATCAGGCGGATTTAATTCCGGGTTTATATCGAATTTAAAAAATCTGATAAGCTGCATTGATTTTGTTATTTGTATCTAACTAAATGTGATTGAGATCCATCCCTCTGTTTTATCATAAACTTAGTGACTCTAGAGAAGGTGACATGCAGATATATAAACCTTTTGCGATTAATTTTGGCCTATTTTGCCTTCATAGGAATATTTCACCTATTGACATAAACGTGATTAATAAAACCATACTTAGCTATTGTATCTATAAATACCTTTTTCAAAATAGCGAAAAAGACATCAGTGAAATAGGAACTGCCTGAATCTAGAAGTATTTGACGAAAAAGTATTTGTATGGATAACATAAACAGACAAAATACAGTGATCCAGCTTTGCTGGTTTGGTTAGTCTGTTTTGTTTGTCATTCATCTTTAATAAGTCATTTTCAAGTTTTTCGTGAAATTCATGGCATCTTAACGGAAACCGCTTCTTCGCAACTTTTGGAAACAGATAACATGAAATTTAACTATTCAACTTATTGAGTTGAAATATTTTTGTTTTACATAGAAGACTTATCAAACATACATCAAAATAACAAATCAATATTTCACATGTTTGCAGATAAAATTACAGTCAGAAAAATAAAATTGGGTAAAATTGAAAGTTACCCAGGTTTATGGTCACGAAATAAAATCAAAACACATAATATTTTACCTGATCAATGAACATTTTACAGTCTTTGCGAAAAACACTATCCATAAAGCCGTAGATTATTGGGTTGATTGCATGGCTGACGTACAAGATACTCAACATGACTCCTTCCCATGGGCCTAAAGCGTTTCGTATATCGTCGTAAATATCCCAGTCCGTGTCTCGTAAAACATAAATGACACAAAATGGTAAATAGGATGCAATAGAAATCAGTGACAAAATAAAAAACATGAATGTAGTTTTCTTTCCTCGTAAGATTTTCTTCCCCAATTTGGCGTTGGTAAAAACTTTTTTCGCGGACGATTTTCTGGTCTTTTCTTCTATCAGAGAAACTTTATCCATGCTTCTTACAGGTTTGTCATCCTCTGTTTTAAATTCTATATCTGTAGAAAATTTAACAGTCTTTTTGCTCTTGCCAAAACTGCTTCTATCACAATTGGAATTGTCTACGGCAGTTGGTTGAAGAGATGTGCTTTCTGAAAAGTCCTGTCCCGATAAAGATGTACTTAATGTATTCGATGGACATTTGTTTGTTTCTCCCGTCGACGATAGAGACAATGTTGGTTTATTTACACTCACAACATCACACATTAAAGGATTTGAGGCGTTTTGGATCGATATAGCAAGACATTGCCCAGGAGACTCCTGTTGACTTGAGATAGAGTTCTCTGACAATGTATTGGAGTTCTTGTAGTTATGTGCGTCACTATAACTGACAGCAGTTAAAGGCAATGCTGACCCTTCATTTTCATCATATGTTACTTTGATTTCAGGAACAGATACAGTAACTTGTTGAGCATGGTTGTTCTTTTGTGAGTAGTTACACTTTTCAGATTCGTTACAAGAAACGGAAAAATCGCTTGCCACCACCATAGTATTGCCGCTCAGACTAGATTTTGGAAATGCCTCAGGGGGCTGTAATTTGCGAGAACGCGAGAGAATGATAAAACGTCTTCCAATAAGTCCATACAGTACAAAACAACATCCGTAAGCAAACAATAAAAATAGGATGCAGAAGTAAAGATAAAGTGATAAAAACAGTGTTCCTCTCTGTTCCGCTAGTACTGAACACTCAAAACCATTAAGGTGTTGCATAGGCGTTGTTCTCTCAGTGATGCCAAAAACGTAAAACGCCGGAAAGGCCACTGCCACTCCACAGAAGATGAACACCAAGGTACAAATGACCTTTGCCTGTATTGGCGTGAGTTGTTTTTCGGGCGTCCATACAACTTTCCCATAGTGTTCTAACGCGATCAAATCTAAGACAGCGTAAGAACACGATGCGAGAAAAATGAACAAAAATCGGGAAATTTTACACACTTCCGATGACGTAAATGCGTATGGGTAGCGTACCCATAGCACCGATAGAGGAATGCTTATTGTGCACGAACAGAGATCAATAGCGGCTAAAAACATGACTAGAGTCTGATGTGTGCTGGATTGTTTCCGAAAAAATGATACAAGACACGTGATCAGATTTCCAAAAGTTCCGACAATTGCTATTAGGGACAAGATAACGATGGACGGAATCCCATTGGAAATAAAGTCTTCCCAGTTTACTTGAAGTAGATAACTCGACAGCTGTTCTTGAGAAATATTCATGATGTTCGGTCTTAAGGATGCACCATGCACTGAAATCTTTGGGTTCACGTCCGTAAAAGCACAGCCTTCTGAGAAAAAAATTTAATCGCAAAAAACGTCAGATGAGGTATGGTTGAAATCCACTGTAAATGGTAGTATCCTGTTTCACATAAACTGACCGGTTATGATGAGGTTCTTCAGTTGAATGAAATGCTTGATTGTAATACGACGTAATTAGCCAGCATTAAAATCCAAGGTATGAAAATGATAATCTCTGTAACATCTCTGTATGTATGGTGTGATGTCTTCATTCACAAATAAAATCACAAAGGGTCAGGTTGTATCTCGAATCTCAATAACATCATAACATTCAAATCCCCAACTTCAGAACAACGTGGTAGGGTTTGATATCGACAACATATGAATTTGAATTATTACGTGTTCTATATCTCAATGTCTTCGGTGAGATTAATGTTTGAGTCGTGTCGTAATTTCTACCCTCCGATATAAGCGGTTGATGTATCAGATTCCTACTATAATTAGATTCGACCTTCCCATCAATTCTGTGAATGTTGAACATCATCACTGAATCACAAGACCCTCCTTAATACAAGCTATTGACAATTGTAACCACCTACCTTAAAACGTGTTATGTTTATGCACTTATGTCTTAACTTGGAGTCATCCGATACGTCAGATGAACTTCCTGTGGTGCATTGTGTGTGTGTATGTATATACCACTATCAACAAATTAATGTCATATTCATGGTTTGTTTTCATAACATAGCGATCAATTTAACGTATACAAAATAAATTCCAAATTACAATTATAAAAAGGTACTTTTCTTTAGAAACACCAGGTATTGAAAACTCATTCTTACTGGGTAACTCGTCTTAACGAAACTCTTTAAGTGTTAGAATATAAATGAAATTTATGTAAACACAGCCTACAATTATTGTCAACTACATAACCAAAACGAAAATAAAATACAAAGCGGAGAGTGTTCATTTTCTAGCGTCGCCTTATATAACAAACAGTTATTCGTTCATCATAACAAACAGTTTTTCATTCATCATAACAAACAGTCATTCATTCATCATAACAAACAGTCATTCATTCATCATAACAAACAGTTTTTCATTCATCATAACAAACAGTTATTCGTTCATCATAACAAACAGTCATTCATTCATCATAACAAACAGTCATTCATTCATCATAACATATATGTATTCATTCATCATAACAAACAGTTTTTCGTTCATCATAACAAACAGTTTTTCATTCATCGTAACAAACAGTTTTTCGTTCATCAAAACAAACAGTCATTCATTCATCATAACAAAAAGTTATTCATTCATCATAACAAACAGTCATTCATTCATCATAACAAACAGTTATTCGTTCATCGTAACAAACAGTCTTTCCTTCATCGTAACAAACAGTCATTCATTCATCATAACAAACAGTTATTCATTCATCATAACAAACAGTCATTCATTCATCATAACAAACAGTTTTTCATTCATCATAACAAACAGTTATTCATTCATCATAACAAACAGTCATTCATTCATCGTAACAAACAGTCATTCATTCATCATAACAAACAGTCATTCATTCATCGTAACAAACAGTTTTTCGTTCATCATAACAAACAGTCATTCATTCATCATAACAAACAGTCATTCATTCATCATAACAAACAGTTATTCATTCATCATAACAAACAGTTATTCATTCATCATAACAAACAGTTTTTCATTCATCATAACAAACAGTTTTTCATTCATCGTAACAAACAGTCATTCATTCATCATAACAAACAGTTTTTCATTCATCATAACAAACAGTTTTTCATTCATCATAACAAACAGTTATTCGTTCATCAAAACAAACAATTTTTCATTCATCATAACAAACAGTTATTCGTTCATCACTAGCATATATAATAACTAATTATTAACATTCTGTAAACATCCTTAACACTACACATTGTATTCCTGGTGTACGATCTCTGTAAGGCTTTACGGATATAAATAACCAATCCTAAGAATTCTTGTGTAACAGTTTTATCCAGGCTATGCCTTGAACACAACCGATATCTTCATGTATTGTGTAATTAACAGTGATATCACAGAGAATCTACATCAGAATACAAACTTACTTTAAGGTCGACATGTACAGTTGTCCATACCATCCGCAGAGCACAGACGATAACGCCCAACTTCCCACCTTCTTAATGTTATTGTGTCATCGTTACTTATTTGTTAGTATTGCTTTTATTTTTATTTATTTTATATTTTATTTTTTTTTTGTATTTCAAATCTCCATAGTTTTGTTTATATATTCATGTAAACAAAATGAAATAAGACAACCCAGGTAGATCATTTTTGTCACTGATCAAATTATTTCGAAAGACATCTGTGATAATTTATAATCCATCAATGTTGTTGCAACTAACCTAGAGTGACCATTTGCGTGCTGTAACAGATCTGGGCCTGTTGCGTACACTTGTGTCAGAAGCATGTCCATTCATCCAATGAACAGAAGAGTTAGGTCTTGATCTACTCCCGTTATAGCCTCTGTTTTGGAACAGTCTAATAGTATCTGCTGTCTTCGGTCGAAAAGTCTTCGACCGAATGCGAACATCACCATATCCTATTGCCGATATAGATCTGCAGCCACTAGTGAGGAAAAATGAGCTCCTCGGTCTGTCGGTGCTATCAGGAATGTGAACCTTCTGTAACGATTCCGCAGAATAGAGTGAAACTGGTGAAATTGGTGTCAAACGCCAATTTGACATAGAGTCATAATTCATGCTTGTGAAAGGGCTCGATGTAAACGTTCCAAAACCTTGTCTGCTTTTACTGGTTTCCGTAGACATCGTTTTCACACGTTCGATCTCCTTAGAAGCCTTCAGTGCCGCTTGCGATTTTAAACGCTCCAATACAGTACATGTTAACCTCAACTGATTTTCCTGGCATTTGTTGGATTTAAATGCATAACGACGTGTGAATTTGGTAAAATCTGAACCGGAAGACTCTCGAAAACTTCCGGTATTTGTATTTTGGACAACCCCATCCTTTAGCCATTGTACCGGGCGAGTCATTACGTGCACAGTACTCAATCCACTAAGTTGTTTGTACTTAATCCAAAATCGTGTTGGTGCCGACCTTTTCAAACATTACTGAAGAAAAAAAGAGTGCACTGTTAATCACAATGGAAACTTGGCAGTGTAAAACAAATACACATAATACAAAAAAAAATCGGATCTAAAGAATTATTGTCTTTTGAAATCCACGAAAACAAAATTGTTTATCAAACACAAAACTGAATATATGTAGATTTAAACATAACGGGCCTGTAAAATGCAATACAAACATGTTTGTGAATTTTGAAACATATCATCCCGCACCCATCTTTCACAGTTACATTAGCTCCAACACAGACAGGTGTGCAATGTATAAGTTTACATAACTATGAGGTAATACAACACTTAGGTTTGTGTTATTTTTTATTTAGAGGAAACAAGTTGACAAAATAAAAAAAAAACATGTATGCATAATCATTAAATGAATTGGATCTGTTACATAAAACAAGTAAATATGAACTTACGATACCTGTGCACGAGTGCAAAGATAACATATTTACTTTTACTTACAAGTTTCGCTTTTTTCGTTGATTTCCGTATGTTTGTCGCATAAAGGGCTTTTATGTCAGTCTAGCGACACTACAATAATGAAAACACACGCTTTATAAAAAGTAGTTCCTAACGCGGCTCTGACAAACTGAATGGTTTGATCAACAACAACCAGGTAAATATGTCTTTCAATGGAATAACATACCAGGGGTGTTTTAAAAGTAAACAATTACCGAAAATTGTGTGCCTAGCGTGGCACCGGCCTTCATTTTCATAAAGAACCTCATTTTCAATCTGTACAAAACGTAACAGTTAAAAAACATCAATCATATTTGTTTTGAAAGAAATTCTTTGTTGTCAAACAAACTTTTGAAATCATGACCAGGGGCCTACAATACTTTTACTCTCGTCAATGGCATAAACTTTTAAATATGGCAGTAATATATATAATAATGTCTGTTTGTATTGAACAGTATGGTACCGCCTATAGGCAAAAAGTACTTTTCAACTTTAGTTTTTCTTAACGCGAATGGGAAAGTAGGTGAATTTCATTTCTATAGGAGCGTTTAGGTCAAGAATATTTTTGGACTTTAACCAGACTAGACATTGATGTTATCTTAAAAGATTAATTGAAAAACGTATATTTATCGGCAGAGAGATCAATTTAATTTACAATTCTTATTTACACATGTGGAATTTGAGGTTTGTCGATAACATCTTGTATGTACAGGACCATATCGTATCGTCACTTTCAGTTAGGGGAGGAGGGGGGTATATACGTTAAAGAATATTCTATACGTAAACTATATTAATATTTTCACGTGGTTTACCAGGTTGATGAGATTCTGTTCTGAAGCTCCATAGCATGATTAGAAGAGGTGACTAAATCTGGGATATTTACATTCTTCCTCCTTTTCAATTACATCACTTTTGACTTCGGACCTGTCCGTCCGCTTATGTGAATACCTCATAGTGTTCTATCCACAGGCTGTGGGTTGACACGTACATTAAATCTGCTTGTCGTTCATCAACAGTGAAGGGTAAGCCCATACCTTGTCCCGTAATTTTACCTTGGCGTGGTGTCATGGGTTCGTGTCCAAGGTATGACATTTTAATGTGACCGCATTATGAAAGCGCTAGTCAGTGACTCTGTTTTATTCATGAACACAGTCTCCTTATTACTCGGAGTGTTGCAATGACGTAATTCACCTAATAAGTAAGGCAAAATGGCGTCCATGCTCAACATGGTGTGATTATACATAATGTTTTTGTGGCTATCCGCTTAATGCATGTGTGTTTGTTTCATATTTTTTGACGTCTTATCAACAGCTATGGTAATTAAAGGACAGCCTTCTGGTGTGTACAAGGTGGGTGGATGTGTAAGCCCTATTGTGATAGCGCAGAACTGCAGCTGACCAAAACCATGCTTCCACCTTGAAGTATATATATACTGCCGAAGGCCCCCAGCAGGTCACACCGATTATTACCCTCAATCGAATTACATAGCGATGACGGAGGTGTCATTCTCCCCCGTTTTTAAAATTCATCATTACAAATTCAGATTGAAACTATGAATGTCAAGGTCGATATGCTTGGGTCACCATAATCGTGACGTCATGAAAATAAAAGATTTTTTGGTATTAGGAATAATTAACTGCCCTAATAGATCAAAAAAAAATCATAAAAGTAACTCACTCAAGCATCTAGATGCTTTCAGTTAGCATTAAATTGTGGTATATGGGGCTTGGCAGTGAAAGGAGGTAACACGTGTCTTCAGATCTTTTCACCGACATTTTTGATAACAACTTTTTCATCTCCTCCCTGGAGAGTTCAAGAAACATAACACTAGAGTAAACTCCCCTGTACTATAACTGTCATATTTGTGTGGTTCT